GACACGATGCCTCTCTGTTTGCGAAGCACTTTGAGAAGCTGCGGGGCGAAAGGCACTTTAGGGGATGGCTGTTGGTTTGGGCTGTCGCAGGGATGGGGGTAGCCGGGGAATACATATATCCCCCCCCCCCCAAAAAAAAAGAGAAAAAATTTTAAAAAAAGGTGACGGCGGGCAGGGTGGGGGCTCACGGTGTCCCCCGAGGCTCGGGGGAGGCCGAGGAAGGGCTCTCCTGCCCGGTTTGGGGGCCTGGGGTGATGCGCTCCCCCGGCTGCGCTCGCTTCCAGACTGAGCCTTTCCGCGGGGTGGGAATTTCAGCCAAAGACGGGTCCGGGCTTGCTGGGGTCCCCTAGAGGGGAGTCTCTGCCATCACACGTCTTATTCTGGATGCTACCAGTTTGACTTGCTTCATTAGAGAAGCTAGGGTACCCTCACCCCCCCTCTGCTGTATCGTGCGCTTTGTGGTGTTAGTGAGGCCATGATGAAGTGTCCTTTAGCTTGTGCTTTCTTTCAGCCGCGAAGTGGAATAGGGCATTCACTTAAAAAGCAAGCGAGAAACCAGGCAACCTTCAGAGAGATGGCAGGGCTTGGGGTGAAATGTCCAGGGTGGCTCAGGGCAGAGGTGGTGGGCGCTGCTTTGGGGCCTGGCAGGTGAAGAGCTCAGTGGTTGCAGCAGGAATCCCCCCCCCGGCCAGCTGAGCCTGGCGTCCCAAACATGTTGCTCTCCTTTAGAGAAAGATGCTGTCATCTCCAGCCCCCGAAATGCCCCTCTTCAAAGCAGGAGCTAGGTTCTGCTGCACCATGGGCCAAACAGACGACGGTTCCTACCGCCACCACCGCCACCAAACCACAGCATGGGTACACCGCAGTTTTGTGGCAGACAGAAATGTTCGTGCTTTGTGAGGCTGTAGTGGGTACGAAGCCACTTTATGGCTAGGTACAGACACAACTGTATTTTCTCTCTGGATCTGTGCAATGAATTTCTCGCTCCTCAGAGCTAAGTGCACATGAGAAAGCTATGAATCTCCAAAGTGTGCCTGGGGCTTGGACTTATTGTCTGCCTTTGAAAGGTGGCCAGTCTCTCTCTTGTTTATTTGGGTTTTTTTCATTTCCTTTCTCTTTTGAATACCTTTGGCAATGGGCAGTAGGCACAATGTTGAATCAGCAAATGTTTAACAGTAAATATATATATATATATATATAAGAAAGAGTCATATATATAAAAACACTTTTCTCTGCTCATTTTATTTCTTCTGGTTTCTGTAAGTGCAGCCAGGTCCCTGCAGTTCCTCAGTTTGAAAACTCAAGACAGAGTTAGTTTAAACCATTTTTGGAACATTGTGAACATTTTGAAATGTTTTTATACAACCCTATCTAGAAGACAGTATTTGTTTCTCTGGACAGCTCATTTTGTATCTTTAAATGAAATATAGTATTTACTAATCAGCTCTAGAGAAACCTTGACATGAAAAAAGTGGCATTTTTCTGTGCTTTCCAGTCAGTTCCCTATTGCTGAAGATTTTGGTTTTAACAATGTTCTTTTCAGTGCTTAATTGTATACTTGAACCTCGTCACAGTTCGAAGGATCCATTGATAAGCTTTGACAAAGGCATACAGGGGTCAGTGGAAAATAATTTTCCCCTGTGGCCCTCCACAGCAATAGGAGAAAGATTTGGGATATGAGGAGCTACAGCTGAGGATACGGCCCCTACCAGACAGCTAAGTTCCAGAGGCGGTGGAGATGTCCTCACTGAAATGCTTGGTACTCGCCCAGACACATTTACAGCAACTTTGTTGAAGGCAAACTCTGCTGCCTAAATTCTGGTCTTTGCACTAAGGAGACTTCCATTCTGCTGCACTAATCCAACTCACAGTCTGTATCAAGATGTGGCATGAGTATATTGCATGCTCACATGTAGTATAAAATGCCGATCCAATTTATTTCAAGCGATGGTCTGGGATCTCTCTCTTGGAAACTGTTAAAGGCAGCCATGGAAGCTGTTAAAAACACTTGATAGGCTTCAGGAAAAGTCTCAAGAAATCTCCTCTAAAGAACATTTTGATAAATTGGCATTTTTGCAGTCTTTCCACTAAAGAAAAATATGTATTTTTATAGATGTTCTTTGCTTTGCTGTTTTGCCTCTCCTTTTTCATGAGTGGAAAGAGGGGAAAACAAGGAGAAGTGAGGAAGAAGATAACCAGGTATGAGTTCACCTGCCATGCATTGCGTTGTGGAAATCTCTGACCATTTTACTGCACCTATGCTGTGGGGAGTTGTTTTTTTCCTAAAGAAAATCTTTTACTGGAAAAAGTTTTGAGTGACAATGTTGGACTTCGGTGAGGACGTTGGATGTTGGAGCCTCCTTATGTTGGACATCAGGAGAGCTAACTTAAAACCTTAAATACTTACCAAGTTAGTAGCTGTGTGCAGGATGGGAATGCCCTGGTGTCCTTCAGTGCTGGTTTGGGATGTGTTTAGTACAGAATATAGGGCCTGACTTTGGATGAGGTTGTGGTGCCATAAAGAAGGAGCAGCTCCCATGAATGTAATGGTGTCACAGGTGGATAGGGCACCAACTATAAGCGGAGCACTGGAAAACAGAAAGCGTTTTCCAGCACAGTGAATCCTCCTCCATGGATTTGCTGAGAATCAAAACCATCTGCAAACATGGTGAAAAGAGCCAAGCAGCCCCTGTCTAGGTCCTGGGCATCATGAGAAGGACACAGAGCAACCAGAGTACGGCCCATTGTTCTCCATTTTCTGGGATTGAATGTCTTGGTAAACCTCCTCCGACTGGGATTCCTATGTCACAAGTCATTAGAAAAGTTGAGGTCTATAAAAGCCATTGATTTTATTGTGCTTTTCAGATGAGGTACAAGGGGACAGTGGTAGTTCTGCAAAGCACAAGGTCTTTAGCCGGTGGAAATTTTCAGGTGTCCTTCAATTTCCACAGAGCCTCTGTGGCCACTCCGGGTGGAAACCGGACCTGCTTGGAGAGGGCTGGTTGGCATTTAGTTGCGAAGACCTCCGTGTCCTTGCCCTGGCGAATGGCCCAGATCTTGCTATTGTACCTTCAAAAACTGAGCTTTGCAAATAGCTTTTGATAAAAGATGAAAGGCCAGAGCTTGGCCCTGCTTACACTTATGTCACTTCTGGACCCTACAGGAGCTGGCCTAGATCTACAGCAACAGAAAATTGGTCCTGAGCAATTACACGAGGTATCTAACCAACCCCGAGCCTATGGCAGGGATCAGCATAGCCAGGGAAATGAATCTGCTTTTTATTTGGTTGATTTATTTACAGGTTTCTGCTTGCCTTTGGCTTGTCTACCATGAGCTGGTGGCAAGCAGAATATAGGTATGAAATGCTTTCTGTGTCGGTGGTTGGCTGTTTTTAGTCAAGGGGATGAGGAAAGGGCAAGGAGGAGAAAGGAAGAGAAAACATTCCTCAAATATACTGTGAAAAGGCCAGGGACACCGTTGGACGGGACGTAACCACAGCTGCACAAATGCCCTGAGTTTCATGGAGATGTGCTAGGGGTGGTTGTGAGCTTGTGCATTTACAACAAGCCCTTGTCCCTGTCCCAGCGTGTTTCAACTGAGAAATTAAAAAACAAGATAATAAAATGTAGAGACTCTACCAACAAAGTTGCTTAGTTTTTTTTTTTTCCTTTCCATTTTGTTCAGTTTGGGACTTTGAGCAGTGAAAACATCTCTTTTTAGCCAACTTCTTTTCAGTAACCAGCAGTAAATGTCTCAAGGATCTCAGTCCTGATGTGGCAGCCACAATTTGTTCGTCTCAAACAAGGAGTTTTAATTGAACTTTGAATAAAAACCCAAGAAACCATTACTGTTCTCAGTAGGTGATGAAGTACCTCTTTCTTGTAGATGGGGAGGTCTTTAAAAAGCCATTGATCTTGGTAATCACTTGTATTGGTGTGTACTGACCAGCATCGACAGCTCACGTAATTGTTAACAGTTAATTAACAGTTCACTTTTAATTGTCAGGAATAATTGTTGAATGCACATGGTATTTCCTTGTAACTCCTTTCATTCGCGCGCAACCTTTTCTCTCGGTGAGGTGGTCATGCTGCTGTACAGCTGACGGCTTCATTTGTACCTTTTCTGTCAACGATGCAGTTGCTGACTGCAAAATCCCCCAAGAGCCGCCCTTCCCGCTATCCCTGCAACCCCGGGAACAGAGCTTTCCTATTCCCGTTGGAAAACTCTGCAATACAGAGCATTATAGAGATAAAAATGGATTTTCAGTAGAGAAGACCCAAATCAGAAGGGGTGGTCCAAAGCTCTTTTGTCCCTGACTT